CAAGGCGCGCTTCCAGGCTCTCCCTCACCCCCTTCTAGGCCAGGCCAAAGTTGATGGGCCTGTTCTCCACCACCACCACCACCACCACCGTAAGTTGGAAGGGGGGAAGGAGGTGGAGGATGATGAGGAGGAGGAATACTGATAATAATAATACGTATAATGATAATGATGATACTATTACTAATATTCATACTACTACTACTACTACTACTACTACTACTACTACTACTACTACTACTACTACTACTACTACTACTACTACTACTACTACTACTAACTACGACTACTACTACTACTACTACTACTACTACTACTACTACTACTACTACTACTACTACTACTACTACTACTACTACTACTACTTACTACTACTACTACTACTACTACTACTACTACTACTACTACTACTACTACTACTACTACTACTACTACTATACTACTACTACTACTACTACTACTACTACTACTACTACTACTACTACTACTACTTCTACTACTACTACTACTACTACTACTACTACTACTACTACTACTACTACTACTGCTGCTGCTGCTGCTACTACTACTACTACTACTACTACTAGTAATCATAATAGTAATAGTAGTAGTAATAATAATGATACTAATAGTAATACTGATGATAACAATGATAATACTGATAATCATATGTATATTAATACTATTAAGACGAGGGGGGGGGACGAGGAGGAGGACGAGGAGGAGGAGGAGGAGGACCTTGTCCCCATCCTACTTATGGTGGCGGTGGTGGAAAACAAACCCGCCAAAGGTGCGCTCCATACTCCGCCTCGCCCTTCCTTCTCGCCTCCCCCTCGGCCCTCCTCCTCGCCCCTCCTCCTCGCCCTCCGCGCGCCCTCCCGCTCTTCTCTTCGCCCTCCTCCTCGTCGGCCCTCGCCCCAGGCCCCCACGCTGTCGGGCAATTCGCAGAACGTCGGCCCCAGAGATCTCGGCCCACTCCTCGGGACCCGCTTCTCCTCCCGAGCAGCTCTGTGGCGGCCCCGCGGCCCTCGTCGGGGGCCTCCCGAGGCCGAACATCGCGAAGAGCCCCCCTGGTCCACGACGCGAGGGGGCCTGGGCCCGGGGCCTCGCCGCCCGGGGGGGCGACCGGCGCCGGAGCAGCCCAGCGCGAGGCGCGCGCTCCCTGCGGGGACGCTGCGCCCCCCAGGGGCGCGCCGCACCAGACCGCGGTGCCCAAGGGGCCACCAAAAAGTCGGGGGCGGCAAAGAGGGGGGTGATGACTACGGGGGGGTGGGTCTCATGACGTGGCCCATGGTATTTCGCGAGATCTGATGGCGCCTCTCCTTTTTCATTACGTCTCTGGCCCCCCCTTTGGGCCGCGCACGTGCCGCCGGCCATGATTTGCGCACCCCCCTCTTGGACGCCCCCCTCTTGGCCGCCCCCGAAAAGGGGCGAGGAGCAGGAGCAGGAGAACGGGGGGGAGGGAGGAGGAGGGCTCGGGGGTCGCGGTGTGCCCAGACCCCAGACCCCCTCCAGGCATGAAAAGGCATCACGACGGACGGTTTTTTCCGTTGTTTTTGGCCTCGGGGGGCCCTCGCCGGGCCGCGGGACCGTCACAAAACTATTCGGGATGAGGCACAGGTTCCAGGGAGTGGGTCGAGACCTCTGGGGGTCGACGTTCTGAAACAATCATGACCTCGGTCGGTGGTCGCGCCGTGTCGTGATCGGGTGGTTAACTGCATGGTGCTGAATAGTGGCGATTGGTAAGTCTGAGTGGGTCGCAGAAAGTGTGGACGTCGGTGGTCGACGTTATGTTCAGCATGTGGCTGGGAGGTTTGATTATCGTGCTGCGACGACCTGGTGGGTCATGCTCCCCATTTGTTATTGATCCGTCATGTGCATATGTGGTGTGTTTGATGGTGTGGTTGAGTATGTGCGCGCTGTGGGCGCAGCAGAGCGCACTCGAGGCGACGGAATATGCTTCATTCTAGACCAATATCCCGAGCTCAACTTCCAGTTGGTGGGTATCAGCAAGGGAAGCGAACTGTGGAATCACATGGGGGACAGCAGATGGATAACACATTCCGTTGCTTTCATTGTTGTCGGGTCAGGTTTGCTCGAGAGTATGCTCGATTCGGGAGTTCTCAGCAGAGGGGACGCGACCTTACATCGCCATCCGGGTTGCAGAGCTACTTGTCGAGGCGATGTTCCACACTGCGAGATCTGTCGACGCACACTTGCGCAGACTGGTAGCGTCTGTTGTGCAAGCTTCTGGCGAGTGTGCGCAGTCGCGGTCTCCCGCCTTATGAGGCAATTTAAGCCATGGGCACACGAATGTGTCGGATATCCCGTTTTCCATTCATCCCTTCGCGCATCACGCGACCCCCCCCTAAGTTGCCAGTTCATGGATGTCCATCGCGATTCGGCTGTCACTCATTCGCGCCAAGCTGTCAGGCGAAGTCAACACTCCTCAGGCAGATGCGGGTTTCCTTCTCATCGCTTTCACTGTTTTCGTTCGGCTCATATCAAGGCATTTTCCTTTTTGCCATTTATTTTTGTTCCCCGACGAGACACGCAGACAGTGTACATCATGGTGCGTGCCCTGGTGGTCGGCTGTGGTCGGCCGGGACGGAGCATGGGCTGGTACCATGCGCGTTTGATTCTCGAGGGTAGCATCCCAAACGTAGCTGCCGAACTCTGTGGCATAGTGGAACCTTTCTTTTCAAAGAATCCGCACCCTGAATGGCAGGCGTTTGTTTCCCAGCACCAGCTGAACGCGTGGGCCGACGTCAGAGATATCCCCGCCGAGAAGATTGGCCAGGACCTGTTTGCGATCATCGCTGTGCGAACGGTGGACGTGCCCGGCGTGTTCTACCAGCTGCTCGAAAAAGGAGTCAAATTTATATATCTTGAAAAGCCAGGGGCGGCCAGCCCAGAAGAGTTGCAAAAGATGAAAGTTGCCGCGGACGATCAGCATTGTCAAGTGGTCATCGGGTATGCGCGAAACGCTCATACGTTTGTGACAGAGCCGATGGCGAGCTTGGCCTTGTCGCACAGACAGAATGCAGCGGTCAGCCTTACGCACAAGAACTCCTTTGCATTCACGGCAGAGGCGTTGGACGAGTGCTTCAAGAGGAACAGCGAAGGAATGCTGCTGAACATGGCGTGCCACGACGTTGCGATCGCCGTCAAGCACCTGGGCCTGCGTCTCGCACACTGCGACCACGCGAAGGTCGACGCCGAGGGCTCGCTGCTTGCCGAGCACTCTGGGCTCAAGGACTTTGTCAGGCTGAAGTTCTCAGTCGCGATACCTAGCGGCAAGCCGGCACACCATGCAGAAGAGGCGGCTTCCACCGAGTCGGGTTCCAGGCGTTCCCCGTCCCGGCGCACCCGCAGAAGCGGAGGGCTCGCTGGCAGGGGGATTGCTTCCCACCTCACGATTGCCGCGGATCGCTGCGGAGGCACGTACGACACCGCGGAAGTGCAGGTCGGAGAGCAGGCCGCCTGCAGGTTGCCGAGCGTGAGCCTGGAAGAGTACAAGAAGCTGTGCGCTGCAGAGCCTGGGACGGCGCCGTACCTCGTGATGCAGAAGGATTGCTACATCGCGTACATGGGTGCCTTCGTAAGGGAGAGGATGTTGAAAACTTCTTCCTCGTTGGGGGACGGGGAGATCAGTCCCTTGGTGGACCTCGAAGAAGGCATCGAGGTGTTGGCGATCTGCGATGCGCTTACGCGGAAGTTCAAGGAGGAGCTTTCTGGGACGGGAACGTGCCAGGGTGTTCAGGGTAAGAGTAGGTGCAGGAGCAGAAGTAGAAGCAGGAGCGCGGTAGGTTAAGGCAGGGTAGAAGCGATCTTATCACTTCTGATTGGTATCAGGGTGTTTGTGAGCAGGGCGGCGCCGGAGATGGAGCGCCGCAGGGAGCTCTCTCTAGACGCGCACGATCCGTCACCAGACTGTGGTAGCATATCAGCGAGAAAAAGGACAGTGGTTGCAAGCCTCGCATGATACAGCTGACAGTGCCAAAGGCTCTTCTCCATTTTGGTGTGCCCAGGAACTGTCTGGATTCTGAGAGCATGTGATCGATCGCGCGTCTCACAAGCACCACGCGATGGAGGGTGCGAGGGGGAGGCGGCGAAGGTTCTGGAGGTGTGTGTGTGTGTGAGCGTGAGTGTATGTGTGATGGGGTGGAGGGGGACAAGGCACAGGAGGAGGAGGAGGAGGAGGAGGAGGAGGAGGAGAAGAGAAGGAAGATGAGGAGGGGGGCCTGAGCACCATCTACGTTTGTTCCTACCACGTGGCATTAGCCGGCAACTCACGAGCATCCATCCTCGGCAGCTCCCGGCCAATCTCGTGCGTTAGATGTCGCGAAGCGTCGACCAGGTTCCGGGACGGGTGCCAGGAACAGAGGCGGACACACATGACTCATGAAGTTCGGGAGTTGCTAATTACAGGTGCCCCGCGCCCAAGGCGCCCCCAGCTTTTCGCTCAACTTTGGAGGCCCTGGGGCCCCCCTGGGCCTCGTGAGGCGTGCTCTGGAGGCCGTGAGGGCATCCTTTCAGAGCCCCGAATCATCAGGGGTAGCTCGGGTCAGGGCTAACTCGGGTTTGTTTTTCGGGATTCCGAACCCGAGTTACCCCGGGCCCGAATTACCCCGGGTAGTTCGGGCGTCCAGGGCCCCAAATCATCAGGGGTAACTCGGGTCAGGGCTAACTCGGGTTCGTTTTTGCGGGGATCCAAACCCGAGTTACCCTGGACTCGAGTTACCCCGGATAACTCGGGCGCCCAATCCTTGGGAATCCTGGGGCACGTTGGGCCCATGTGCACTCTTGGCACCACGCGAGACGCGGCTGGCCTCGGCGAGCGCCGGATGCACGCGTGGCCGCCCACCGATCCGGCGCGCTCGGCCCTCGTGCGGACGTGCACGCCGGCCCCGACGGGTGCATCCATCTCCGGGTCCCCCTCCTCCTCCTCCTCCTCCTCCTCCTCCCCCTCCTGGCCCCTCCTCCTCCTCCTCCTCCTCCTCCTCCTCCTCCTCCTCCTCGCTCCTCCTCCTCCTCCTCCTCCTCCTCCTCCTCCTCCTCCTCCTCCTCCTCCTCCTCCTCGCTCCTCGCTCCTCTCTCCTCGCAAATGCAAACAGGGGGTCAATGCAAACAGGGGTCAGTCAGAGCGCCGGATTTGGCAGGATCCAGCAGGGCCAGGGGCGCATTGACCCCGGCTTGCGTGCAGGATCTCGCAGGATCCTGCAGGATCCTGCAAGGCCTGACTCACCTTGGTCTGGATTGACTCGGGCCAGTAGATCCCTGACATCGACGGCGAGCGAGGGGGGAAGTGAGAAGGAGAATGCCTTCTCAGAAGATTCGGAAGTCCCACTGTCGTCTGAGCAGTGCTCTGTGAGCCTGATTCCCCGAAGGCACAAGAGACTGCTCATAAGGCCGCAGCGCTTCTGCAAAGCCCCGCCGCCTTCTGAGAGGGCCCTCTCCTTGTCACCTCCCTCCCCCCGCTCGCCACCGCATCCAGCGAATGTTGAGTCGAGCCTGTCCCTCTACAGGGGGAATGTTCAAGAACAGTAAAAGATAGTCCGGGGACGATGTTTGAGCTTTTTTTGAACCATTTTGGAATTTTTGGTTGCGTCTGTCTTATTTGTCGTCCAAAACCCCCTGTAGGGGGACGTGACACGCCCGATTTGAAGCGAGTGTCATCCGCACGCTCCGCGTGTGCATCCGGCCGTGCGCTCTGCCTGCTTCCGTTTGTACGCCCCGAGCGCGTCACGCCCCGTCGCGGTGGCCCCTCGGCGGCCGCGCGCGCAGCCCCCGGGTGCCAAGCTGCAGCTGCGCATCCCAGGAACCAGGAGGGATACATTCGGGGGCGGCAAAGAGGGGGATGATGACTAGGGGGGGGGATATCATGGCGGGGGCCATGATGTTTCCTCTGATTTCAGGGCGCCTCTTCTTGTTCCCCCCGCTGGGCCGCGCACATGCCGCCGGTCATGATTTGCACCCCCCCCCCTCTTGGGCACCCCCCTCCTGGCCGCTCCCGAGAAATGCACAGACGCAAATGATCGTCGACTCCCAGGGCAAGAAGGAAAGTTTGGGAAGTGGAGGGCGAGATGAAAGTCCAGAGCATGTGCAACGGATCGGGGGTCCCGGGAGTGGTGTCCAACGTGTCCCTGGGCCCCTTTTATAGTTGAGGCCACCCCGCGTTGAGCAACTGCCAGCGCCGCGATCTAAAAGTTCCCAGCTCCCGGGTAGCCGGGGATGGGGGACAGCGGCTCTGGAGGAGCCGGCCTGGCACATCTCATGCCGCTGTGTTTTTGCCGCCCGCCGCCGAGCTGGAAGGCCGATTTTGCGGACGCGGCATTTGCTGCCAGAGTCGGGCGCCTTGGTGCGCGCGTTGCCAGAGAACGTGAGGTGGCCAGGTGTAAACGGCACAGTTTGGACGAGGCTAGGACGATGATAAATTCGTTCCAGGGCGTTCCAGAACGCTCTCAGAGCGTTCCAGAAGGCTCTGAGAAGGCCGCAGCGCCCGAGACATCCTCCAGAGCTGCCGGATCTCAGAGATTACCAATTTTACATTCACACTGGCGGCGTCTTAGCAGTAGGATGCGGTGGCCTTCTCTTCCTACTGCCCCCCCACTCACCTCCAGCATGCCCTCTTGGTCCTTGTCGTCATCCTCCGCCAGTTCCCACCCGCTGCCCAGAGGCAGTGCAAGGCAGCGGCTGCGTGCGACGTGAAAGCAGCTACCTTGAGGCGTCGGGGTGGCGCAGCTTCTTGCTCTCAGGAGGATGAGTAGAACGAGCCGGGGGAGGATGGACGCAATCCTCAATGCAGTACCTGAGGAGGGCTTGCTTGCCAAAAAAAAGGTGGCGAGGACGATAGCCAAGGAGTAATAGGGAGCAAGAGAGAACATCATATACTGGAGCAGCTTACCGAGCTCATGCCATCTGGCACCAAATTGCCCCACACTTTGCAGCATCGAACATCCCCTGCTGCATCATAATGGCGTCGATGGGGGAGGAGGGGGAGAGGAAGGAGGAGGAGGAGGAGGTGGTGGAGGAGGAGGAGGAGGAGGAGGAGGAGGAGGAGAAGGAGGAGTAGGAGGAGGAGGAGGAGGAGGGAAAGGACGGGGAGGAACAGCAACATGAGTGGCAGGAGGAGGACGAGGAGACACAGTAACAGGAAAAAGGCTTCAAAGGAGGGCAGGGGGGCAAGATGGAGGAGGACGACGAGGCCGGGAGGGACAATGCGGACGACAAGGGTGTGGAGGATGGCGATGGGGAGCATAAGTAGAGGAGTGGGCATGGGGAGGGGTATCGGGAGGGAGGGAGAGCACTAAGACGGTGAGGACTGGAGATGGAGGTGAGCGGAGGGAAATGAGGAGGCAATGGGGTGGCGATGGAATAACCGAAGATGAGGGAGTGGAGGTCAGAGCGGCGAAGCCTAATCTAGCAAGCAGGCTCGCACATCGAATGCTCTTGCTCTGTTCGCGATGACACTGCCAGCGCGCCGGAAGCGCACTGGCATGAGTCGACAGGTCTGACAAAGCTCAGATCTCAATAAGGTCGCAAAGCTTAATCGCCATGAAGGAGTGTCAGGCGCTACTCCGCAGGAAGCTAGCGAATGCCGTGGAATTGCAGGAGAACGACGAATTCGAAAGGCGGGGTCCAGCAGAAGTCCACTTAGGAGCCAGATAAATTAGGCTCAATGACGCTGCTCTCAGTGAAACGAAGGTACGGTGAGCGATGTCCAGTGACGCGAAACCGAGCAAGACCAGATTATGGCATGATGAAGCTAAGCTCAGCATGAGTAGACTCACCGAAGCCCAGCCAAGCATGGACGTGCCCAAAAAAGTGGACAGTGTGTGTTGCTACGTTCATTCAGAGCCAGGCCACACCAGGCCAAGGCAAGTTGGGGCATGGTCAACAAATCGGTGTCAACGTACACAACGATCTGCTCGACCAAGTGGCTCTGAGTGTCGCAGGGTGTATGGGCATTTCAATCTACATGTTCCTGGACAGGACGAGGGAGGAAGACCCAGCCAGGATTAGCCAGACTAGGCCGAGATACAGCCATCACGGAAAAAGGCAACCACTTAAGTTGATGCTTGTGTTTAAACGTCACAGATGGAAACTACCAGGTGCATTTGCTAATGCGAAAGCTGCACCGTAAGTTAAACATGAATCCCCATTCAAGTGTATTGCAGACAATGTGAGCCAGCGTGAACCCGAAGTACTGACTTCTGCATCATATGTGGTGCAATCCATGTAGTGTAATCCATGAGGTGCGCTCTGTGCCGTTCGAAGCAAAAACAACGCACAGCTATGCAAAGCAATGACACGCAACGCAAAGAAATGCAAAGCACTGCGGTGCAATGCAAAACCATGCACCGCAATCCATTGCAATGCAAGTCAATGCAAAGCAATGCAACGAAATGCAATGCGATGCAAATGGGATGCAAAGCAACGCAAACATATGCAAACCAATGCAATGCGATGCAATGCAATGCAATGCAATCTCACGCAATGCAGATCAACGCCTTGCGATTGGATTGCAGTGCGATTGCACTGCAACGCAATGCAATTGCAGTGCAACGCGATTGCAATACAGCCCGGGGGGGTTCAGCGTGGCGGCGGTGACGCGCGGGAACAGGTCCGCCGTGGCCCCACACGGGCCTCTTTATGGGGGAGAGTGTTGCGGCGACGGACGGGAACGGGGCCGCCGGGGGCCGCACCCGGGCAGAGTCCCTGGGAAGAAAGTGAGAAACCCGTGGTGCATACGCTGTTTGGGGAAGTGTGCGAGGTCGGCAAATGCGAGCGGGGCCGCGACAATGTCGACAATGTGAGCCACCATCGGACAAGAGTCTATCGGTTTGGAACCAGCGCGGCCACGTGAGGATCGATTGGGCAAAATTTGGTGGTACACTGATGCTAAGGTAAGCTAGGCGAAGCTGGTAGGTTTGACGTCAAGGTACGCCAGCATCGGCGGTGTCATTCCGGTCTCGGTCGAATGAGTGTTGAGGCGGCTTGGGCATTGCGCTGCATTTAAATGTCGTGATCAGCCAGGGCCAGCCTAAGCCAAATCAAACATTTAACGAATGCTACGGGTCATATTGTACGAGCCAGGCCTTCAGGGGTGACGCACTGCCAACGTTTATAGCAGAGTGGTCGTTGTGTGTCGCCATTGCCTCTCTGTTCTGTCTGACCGTGTCTCTCCTTCCAACTGCCCTGGCCCCAGCCCGCCCTCTCAGCACTAGCAGTTCACATGCCCAGTCGTTGTTCCTACCCGCCCTCTACCCCTGCATCTACAGGCCGCCAATCCAATCATAGGTATTTGCGTTCTTCTCCTTTCTCCGCGTAGTCTGCTGCTCTCTCTGCTGCAAGACCTCGCCAGGGTGATGCTCTCGGTCGCCTTCAAGACTGCCGGGGAGCCACCGATTTACTGCTTCGACGAGCTGTCAACTGGAAAGCCCGAGTCTAAGATCTGGGGGCTGACACCAGGCAGCAACCCGCATCTTTCTCCACTGTTTGGGACTAGGCTCCCGGGTATCACTATTTTATACAGGTTTGCCTTTGCTTGGTGTCGTCAGAGCTACAATCGGCAGGCAATCAATCAGAATTATTGTGTGTCGTATTCATTTACCGCAAGGACGATACATAACGGTACATGTATCCACAGCGTTTCGCGGCATCATTTCGGACAGGCTGGAGTTTAACGGAGCAACCGATGTCATGTGTGTTCTCGTGGACCGGCCAGGGGCCGCATTCAGGCCGTCATGGGCCCGTTGGGCGCATCGCGCGCGTTTAAAAGTTCCCTGGGCGTTCGAAGCTGTTTGGCGGCGTTCGAATTGGAGCATTGGGGCAACATTGAGCGGCCTGGATGCTGAGGCATGTTCTCCGAAGGTTGTGATCCTTTGCGCTGTGGGTTCGGCTATTAAACAGTAGAAGTAGGGTTGGACTGTAGAGGGAAGGCAGAGGAATCTACAGACATGACAAGGGAGAGGAGCACAGCAGGAAACCATAGCTTCCAGTCTGGCCAATCTTTTGTGGGATGCGTACTGCATGTTCGTGGGTTGATGTATGGTTCTGTCAGGAGGCGGCGACGGCGGACGATGGGGTGTGAGGGATGACGAGACCACTTGAAGAGGACGAAGATGGAGAAATGAGAGGGAGAGGAGGAGGAAGAGTAGGAAGAAGCTTCGTGGAACCTGGAAGCCCTCTTTGGCGGATGCGGGGCCTCTTGGGGGCCTGTTCGGGATGATAGATGACGCCTGCGGTGAACCTTTGGCGCCCCAGCTTTTTCGGACACGCTTCATTATGTGGCCAAACGTTGGACCGACGCTCTGACAAGCTATTGGACTACGTGATTCCCCAACCGTTGTGGAAACCGGTGGGGAACCTTTGCGGAAGGACGAGGGAGGAGGAGAAAGAGGAGGAGGAGGAGGAGGAGGAGGAGGAGGAGGAGGAGGAGGGAGGGAGGAGGGAGGAGGGAGGGAGGAGGAGGAGGAGGAGGAGGAGGAGGAGGAGGAGGAGGAGGAGGAGGAGGAGGTGGAGGAGAAGAGTGAGGAGAAGGACGAGGTGGGAAAGGATGCCTCTTGGTGGCGTTTTTGGGACTTCTGAAGGCCTTCGGGGGCTTCCTGGGTGGCATCTTGGGGGGCTCTACTGGCCTCGTGGGGGCCTCGTGAGCCAGCGTGGGACCCTGCTTGGGTGCTTCAGCTGTAGGGCCGTCTCGGAGGTCTGTAGGGCCGCGTTGGGTGCCTCTTCGGCCGTCTTGGGCCCTCTTGGCCAGTCTTCCAGGCCTTATGGGGGCTTCTCCTGCCGTCTTGGGACGATCTTGGGGGACTGGGTTCATCATGCGGGGCGGGAGCCCGAAAAGGCGAGGACGCTGAAACCATTGAAAAGGCCTGGGGGGATTACTGATTTGGGCATCCTGGAGGTCCTCTTCGAGTCCTCTAGGGGCGGCTTGGGGGCGTCTTGGGCCGTCTTGGGGCCATCTTGGCCTGTCTTGGGTGTTTCGTGGGCCGTCTTGGAGACATCTTAGGGTCATTATGAGCGTTCTCGGGGCCATCTTGGGGCCGTCTTGAGCGGGAGAACCGACGGTCTGGACATTTTCCCGTGCGTTCCCGGGTTGGAGCCTTCTGGAAGGGCCGAAACAACCTCATGCACGCCATGGACCCGTGTGGCAAGCCACCAGGGGTCGGCGGGTGTAGTTGTCTTCTGCCCGTCCCGTCACGGTGCCAGATGCTCTTGGATGCTTGGTTGGGTCTCGTGGGTAGCTTCTCGGAAGACTTTTCGAGGCAGTTTGTGGGCTGCTTGGGGGCCTCTTGAGGTCTCTTTGTGGGTCTCGTCGGCGTCACTTGGGGCATCCTGAGGGCTTTGGGGGGGCCTGCTGGCGGTCTCGGGTGTCCTCTTGAGGCGGAGACCTCGACATGTCAGTACGAGCTCGGCCCTCTCTTGGGCCTTCCTTGGGGCCCTCTGGAGGTCCTCTGGGGCCGTCTGGGGCCATCTTGGGTGCCCCTGGTGCCGTACTGGGGCCCTCTTGGCCCGTCTTGCGGCCCTCTTGGGGGCCTCTTGGGCTGTCTTCAGGCGAACTTGGGGGCCTCTTGGGCCGTCTGGCACGCTGTTGATACCCAAAAGCGAGTGTGCGAATTCAGAATGCATCACCCCGCAATTGCAGATACGAGTGCGGGGGCGGGCGAGGGGTGGGTCGCAGGTGGGTCGCGGGGTGGTAGCGGGGTGAATCGCGTTGTGTGGGGGGGGCGACGACAACAAACAACACCAATACGAAAGAGCAACAAACAAGCACCGTCATGCATAATCCTGGCCGTGGAATCCCACTTCACCCACGCACCCAGGGATGGTGCAAGACCGTGCGACCCTCTCTCACTCTGACGTTCTACGGAGGGATGGGGCAGATTGTTGCCCCCTGGCGCAGAAAGAAACTGGTAGTGGCGCATGTGGAAGCCGTCCAGCCCAACAGCAGACCTCCCGGAAGAAAAAGAACGAGAGACCGCCCGAAGGTCGTCGGGGGACTTGAGGGGGGCGGCTCCGAGCGGGCGCGTCTGAGGCGCCCTGGAGACTCCTGGGCCCTCGGGCGCGAGCTCTTCCCGGAGGAGCGAGAGCCTCCACTCCAGATGTCGAGCCTCCGATTGGGAGAAGCACATCAGATTGTTGTTCTTGGAGCTCCAGCTGCGCCAGGCGTGCGGGCAGCACCACCGTGTTGAGCAACTCGATGACCTCGGCGCGTTGGCCAGGCGTGAGCTCGAGGGCCCCTAAACTGATCCCTTTCCGAGCGGGGCACTTCGGCGTCTTGGGAGCCTCCTGCGCAGTCCCGAGGCCGTCCCGGGCCGCCCCTGCGGGCCCCCATCGGGCCGCCGCCCCGGAGAGTGCCGCCAGGGGGGTACAGATCGAGGGGAAGGAGGAGGAGCAGGGAGGAGGGAGGAGGGAGGAGGAGGAGGAGGAGGAGGAGAAGGAGGGAGAGGAGGAGGAGGAGGAGGAGGAGTAGGAGGAGGAGGGAGGAGGAGGAGGAGGAGGAGGAGGAGGGAGGGAGGAGGGGGGAAGGAGGGAGGGCGGCAGGGGGCAACAAGCTAACGGGGGCGGGGGCGGGGGGGTGGGGGGGGGCACGGGGGAATCTCGAACGTACGGAACGCTGCATCCGCACCAACGTTCAGGCGATCGCAAACATGGATCAAAGGGGGCGTAGATCAGCGACGGGGGTCCCGCTTCCATGGGAAGTCGCGGATTTCCGCCGCCGAGCGAGGCGGCACTGGCCGCATTCTGGGGAGGGCACCTCCCCCTATCCATGGATTTGGTGACCGCGCGCCAAATCCGTGGATCGCTACAGTGAGCGGCTTGAATAATGAACACTAACTTTTCAAAAGGGGCTCCGTCGTTCCTTAGGCTTGCATGCGTTGTTTATCGTCCCCATATACGTTATTGATTAGGTATCGTTCCTTATGCGTTACTCCTCCCTGGAGAAAAAAGGGGCTTCGTTCCTTGTTGATCGTTCCTTAGGCCAGGCCGATGACGGTAACCCATGCTTGCGCGCCCCCGAGGGGTGGGGGCGGGGGGGTGGGGGGGGGGAAGGGGGAATGTCGGAAGGAAGGAACGCTGCAACCGCACCAAACGTGCGGGCCTTGCGGACGCGCTTCGCAGTTCTCGGGTGTGAGCCTGAAGGGCCTCGCCCTCCGCCGCTGGCCCCCTCTGCTCTGGCTGCCTGCGCGGTGGGTTTGGTCGCTGATCTGTCGGCTGCTCGGCTGGCAACTTGGCTGATGGGAATGTTGACTGACCTACTTCGTGGGCCTGCTTTCCAACAACTCCACCATCAGTTGGAGGGGGGAAGGAGGTGGAGGATGAGGAGGAGGACGAAGAGGAGGAGGAGGACGAGGAGGAGGCGGAGGAGGAGGAGGAGGAGGAGGAGGAAGAGGGCCCTCTCCCCCTTCTACTTCTGGTGGTGGTGGTGGAAAACAAGCCCACCATTACTAGATAGTCGGCAGTCGGTTTTGGCTGGTTGCTGGCTGGCAGGTTGCGCGCATCTGCAGTAATGAATCGGACATGGTAGCCTCAGGAGCGCGTTCCCACTGTCGTTCACGAGGTCGCGGCTTTTGGGACGCGCACCCCTGCTTCGTCAGATGCATGCGTCGTTTCGGGTCCAGGGACGAACTTTCAAGAAGTGACAGGGCGTAGGGGGGAGGGGGGAAGCGCCCCCCAACCGCGCATTCCCGAGCAGAAAGTGGGATGCTTCTGACTGGGAGATGGCGGGCGGCGGCAGTAGGGAGCTGGGTGAGGGGGCCGAGACTGGACGGAGGGAGGCGCGGAACGATGATGAGGGAGGGGATGAAGGGCTGAAATGAGGGAGCGGGAGCATGGGAGCTGGCGCAAGAAGGAGGAGGAGGAGGAGGCGGAGGAGGAGTTGGAGGAGGAGGAGGAGGAGGCGGAGGAGGAGGAGGAGGAGGATGGAGGAGGAGGAGGAGGAGGAGGAGGAGGAGGAGGAGGAGGAGGAGGGAGGAGGAGAGGAGGAGGAGGATGGAGGAGGATGCGTGAGGGGGTGGCACCAGAGTCGGGGTGCTGTGGGCTTAGTGGCGCGCCCGCTTCGCAATCTCGGGCGGCAGCTCCGACACCTTGTCGAGACAGTCGTCGCACGGTCAAGACCGCGCGCTTTCCCGCTAGCTCGCAGCGGAGCACATAAGAACATAGGGGATGAAATAATAGGGAGGAGGGACACGGACTGAGAGAAGAGGATTGAAAGGAAAGGAATGAATGAGTGAGTGAATGCGCGAATGAGTGAATGCGTGAATGAGTGAATGAATGAATGAACGAACTAACGAACGAGTGAATGAGGAGGAGGAGGAGGAGGAGGAGGAGGAGGCAGGCAGTGGGAGGCAGCAAAGGGAAGGAGATGGGGGATGGGTGAGGGCGGGTGAGACCCCTGCGGCATACCATTCGCCGCCGGGCACATCTTGTGGAACGACCTCGGCGAAGATAGCTCACGACCTCTTCCTGCCGGACTTGAAAAATCCCGGAAGTGGCCGACCAGAGGTCTTTAGGGCGCCGCAGGACGGCGGGGGCGGCACGGTCTTCCCTTCTGTAGCCGTCCCGCTGTCGGCCAGAGGAGGGAGTCTTTCCAGCGGTAGCCGCTGATAGGCGTTTCCATACGCATCCGGCAGCCACAGCTATTTTCCCCCCTTCTTGTCTTGTCCTCTCCCCCCACCGTCTCCGCAGGCTGCGACGGCTGCTTCCTCACGCCGGTGGGGGACATCGCGGAAGTCTACCGGCAGGTGCCGAAGGCGATGGAGCGGTTCGCCTACGTCCTTAGGAGCGCGTTTCCGCGAGGTGGGCATGCAATAGGATGCGAGGGGGGGATTGGGCGAAGGTAGGAGAGGGAGAGCCGAAACAAGAATTGAAGCAGCCAGTTTTGGGAATCATTTCGTTCGTTTCCGGGGGCCCTCAACGGGCCCCGGGACCGTCGATGGACGATTCCGTGAGGATGAAATGCTCTCCGGAGGCACGTGGTCCAGACCCCCGGGGGCCCACGCCTCAAAAAATAAATAAAATATGGAGCGGAGCGGTCGGATGTCTGGGGAGGGAGGGGCCATCCCGCTTCTCCGCCTCAGCGTGGAGGCGGATGTGGAGAAGGAGCAAGAGGCGGATGAGGAGCAGGGGCAGGAGCATTGGCCAGAACGGAGGAAGGACGAGCATCAGTAGCGGGATCATCTTCACGATCAGGCGCAAGAGGAGAAGTAGCAGGAGCATGGGCCGGAGCATTGGTCAGAACGGAGGAAGGACGAGCATCCGTAGCGGGATCATCTCCACAATCGGGCGCAATTCGCCATGGATGTGAGGTGAGCAGTGGCCTGAAGGCGCAGCATCCCGCCGCCCTGGTCCCCAGCGGGGCCCCAAGGCCGCTGGGCAGACAGTGAACCGCCCTTCCGGAGGAGGCGAGGAGGAGGGCACGGGGACGCGACAGAGGAAGGCACATATAGAGCGGAGGAGAGAGGGGGGCGGTCCCTGGCCAATCCAGGGGCGTTGGGCCCCATGGGGACTACAACGGAAACCATCCAGATTCGGAGCCCGGCGGGTCGCCCCGACCCCCGGCTCGCTGGCGAGCGCGCCGTCCGCGCTCTCGCACAAAGGGCAAATCTGATTCGGACAGGCCGTAGAGAAGCAGAAGATCCGCTTCAAGCTGCCGCGGGCCAGTCGCATTGTCTGGGCTGGTCGCCAGGGCCGTCCTCCTGCCCGCGCCTCTTCCGACAACGGGGTCCAAGCGTTGCCTCTCCGCTCATGGGATGGCATCTGTGCGTCCGCTCCAGCTCCGTTGACGTCGCCGCACCGCTCTGGCCCCGAAAACCTCGGCGTGGTCCACCATAGGCCGTTGTCGATTGCGTGGGCTTTGCATTCGGCTGCCCATCGTGCCGCTCCCCCGGCCGCTCCTCCGGAGGCCGAGCCAGAGGTCCGAGTCCTCGTCGGGCGTCTTCGTGCAGCTGCGCCCCTCCGCTTGGCCACGTCGTCGGCGTGCGCGCTCGCCCTCTGCTCCCAAAGGGTGGTCCAGCCTGCGTCTGCGTCCGCACCCGTCGCCCGAGCATTTTTTCTTTGGGTGCAGGGCAGAGGGTGAGATCCGAAATGCCGTCTCGATTGGTCTTCGAGAGGTTTGACTCTGCAACAGGTGGATCTCAAGACGGATTCTTTCTTTCGAGGTGCAAAAGCCCGTGTGGACTTCACCCTGAGCCCTCCACCCTACGAACATGCTCAGGTCGCATGGGCTGATGTCTTGGACGCTGCGAAGCCGGCCGCCACCAGGGATGCCCGGAAGCTGCCCCACGGGTGGGGACGTCCGTCCCCAGATCTGGTGCCAGCCCCGTCGCCCGCCTGCAGCGTGCCCACCGTCCTCTTGCAGTCGATGTGCAGGCCGAGCGGGGCCATGGCGACGATCGGCGCAGTCCTCCCCGCCGCGGCACGTTCGAGGCGGGCACGCCTCGACAGGCACGACGCCCCACATCGGCTCTCTCGAGGCTGCCGAGCCTGTCCACCTGGACGACGCTCCGGCCCGCCAGCGCCAGCATCGGGTACATGGTACAGTCGGGGCCCTGAAGAAGGAACCCTTCTCGTTGGGGAGGGGCTCCGCGTTCCTGAAGTGTTTCACAGCTTGCCTCAGGCTTTCCTTATGTTTCCGACAGGAAATCGAAGGTTAACTCATGGAAAAAAGGGGCCTCGTTCCTTATTTAGGGTTCCTTAGGTCAACGCCCCGACTGTAGGCCCCTGCCGCCCCGGGGCGAGGCGATCCGACGCGCGCACCGCCGCCTGGACTGCGAGGGCCCGCACCTGGAGCGGAGGGGGGCGCGCCAGGTGGAGGCGCTCTCCCCGGTCGGTGACCACCTCCGCGGCAGCCTCGACACTCCAGCCGATGCGGGCCGCGCTCAGCACCGCCACGTCTGCAGGAGAAGGTGCCTGTCGCCACGGGTGCGCCGAAGTCCTCGCCTTCTCCAGTGCCAGCTGCATGAAGACCTCCATGATCCGCCTCGTCACGAATGAATCCCATAGCGCCGAGCACCAAGCAAAGACGGCGTCGGCGGCGACGGGGACGAACGGATCGCACCGTACGCCAGCGCGATATGATAACTGTGCAGCCGGAGCCCCACGGAGGCCCCCCGCGGAAGCTGGCCGCAACTCCCAGCAGCTGCCACGCGGAGTCCGTGAAGCTGCGTGCTCCCAACGCCCGTCGCCGCCGAGCCCCAGAGGGCCTTGGCAGGCGCGCCCACGCGGTGTACCACCTGCGTGTCAGCTCCCGCCAAATCGCAGACGTCGGTGCCTTCTGCATCTCCGCTTGGCATCCTCCTCCCTAGCCCTCGTGGTTTGGAAGCCAGGCAAGGGCTGCTAAATCCGTGGCTGCTAAAACCGACCTCCGGGAAGTTGTCTTCGTCCGTCCGGGAAGAAGCCCGTTGACTGTTTCGCGTGCCGCGCTTCATTCCGGGAAGTTGTTTTTTCCTTCGGGAGGGCCGTTATGGCAGCCACCGTTTTAGCAGCCCTCGCCCAGCTTCCGAGTACTGTCGGTGTCGCCGCGGCCTGTGTACATTTGAGACAGACGGCCGCCTGCCCAGCAGCGGCCGCTGTTGGTTTGGGACAACATTTGTTGTTGGGCATTGTACCCAGTTTTTCCGTACCCATTTCGGGTGTCCAAAACGGAAGGAGCCCAAGAGGTTCTCAAAGTCTTGCGCCAGTTGCGCTGCAGCCTGAGCAGACCGCCCAACCGACTGAGTACTGGACATCGTCCACCACATTCTTTGCAACGGCCAGTGGTTTGGCCGCCGTTGCCTGGCGCAGCGGCGTCAGGAGCAAGAGCGTCGCGAGCGTGGTTGCTGCCGAGCATCCCGCCATGGTGGCCCCGTCGGTGAAGACGAGCTGGGACACGGCGCCACCGCACACCAGTCGTCGTACCCCCGCGCGTAGATGGTGCACAGGCCGCGCAACAGGCGCAGCGGGAACCCGTGCCAGTCCACGTTCTCGCAGAATTTTCGCGGGTCCACAAGCACCGTGCCGGCCGAGACACCCGTGTGCCGAGCGAATGCGCGGAGAGCATGTTGCGGCTCCAACCGGCTTTCTCGCAGGTCTCGGTCCGGTTGCCGCCCCAGAATCACTCCCTCGCGCTGCCGACCCGCCCACTGTCGGCACAAAGGCTGCCGCATGCTGCTTGACAGCTTGCACGCACGAAATGGGCACGGAAAGAATCGGAAAACTGGAAAGGGGTGGTATAGCACATGGGTGGTATGGGACCGATTTTTGAAAGCATGTTTGCATTTTTTTATGCGACATTGTTACCACGTCGCTTGAGCAGCCTGCGAATGTAAAGGAAGAGGATAAAGAGAATGAGGAGGAGGAGGAGAGGAGCAAGGAGGAAGAGAGGAAGAAAGAGAAAAGAGACGAGGAGGAGGAGGAGGAGGAGGGAAGAGCGAAGAGGAGGAGAAAGAGGAGGGGGAGAAGGAGAGTCTCGGGCATGGGCTGTGTGTTCCCCTAGCTAACCAGCAAGGCGCCAACGTCTTGGAAATCTCGGTCACGGCCTCTTGGGTGAACTCAGCGGTTGTAGAGGTCAAGATAGAGAGCAGTATGGTTATGTGTGTCGAGATTGTGGAATTCAAGATGGGGAGTAGCTTTTGATCATGTTGTCCTAGCACATTTTGCTGCTCGAGGTTATTGTGTGCGTGTGTATTTCCTGCCCGCGTCAGTGCCAACCTTGAGGTGCCATGGCGTCATCTGGAGATGTGCAAGCTTCTAAGAAGCCGAATGCGAAGTCCCAGTTCTGTGAGATGGACGCCAAGCAGAAGGCTGAGCACCTAAGGATTCGAGCCAAAGAGATTTCCCAGAATGAGTTGAAACGGGCCATATTCAAAGTCATCACCGACAACCCCATTGTCCTCGATCAGGTGAAAGAGTTCTTGGAGGGAATCGGCCACCCCGTCGTCCTAGGGAAGGCCGCGAAGAAGAGGGGTGCCGATGAGTTTGATGCGCCCTCGTCTGTTACTGATATCGTTTGTGTGCCTACCGCTGCCGATTCCAACGGTGGAGATGCTGCTGCTGGTGATCAGGGTCAGGGCGGATGCAGAGTGAGGGCCAGTGGCACTGGCATCGATGATCCAAACCCTGCGAATTGGTTGCCGCATCGCTACACCAGGTGGGAGAATTGTTCGGTTCCGATCATGGTTGAACTATTGAGTCACTGCGAGCCTGTTGCACTCTCTTCTTTGGCCTTGAAGGCGATCACCAGCAAGGGCAAACTCGACGAGAAGCAGAAGAAGTTGTCGGACCACTTCGAGTTTGTCACTGGCCAGGGCAGGGAGCTCAACTTGGTGGGCTCGCTCCGCCACATCCCGACCCTCAAGAAATTCCTGAAGCACTCCAGTGATACCGAGGGCCGTCGTGGACGCGATCTTCGGGTTCCTGGGGATTGGGGTGCCCACAAAGACGGCTGCTTCGAGATGGAGATGGTAGGCGAGGACCTGATCATCAAGGACAAGATTACCAAGGCCGAGCACGTGGTGCCTCCAGAGTTGAGGCTCAAGTACGCTGACGGCACGCTCATCCCCATCGAGGCCTTGGAGATCGACATCAACTACTGCAAGACCAAGGCGAACATCGTATCGCATCACTGTGTGAAGAACGTGCCAATCGCCTCCCTGGGGAGCTTCGGCCGCGACGTGGTCGCGAAGCAGTTCATCATGAACCCCATGGCCGCTGCCACTCCGCCGACCAAGAAGCAGAGGGCCATCGTCGACGTCGCCTCGAGGATCGTGGGGAAGCCCGAGACCGCGGGGCACGAGTGCGGCGTTGCTGTGGCTTCGCTCTTGCAGGTGCCGATGCAATCCATGGAGTCTCAGTGGCAGCCACCTGCGCCTTCTTCTGTGGCGCCGTCGGCTCTCGATGGCAGCCCTGACGGTCAGTCGCTGTACCAGGCCGAGGACGCCAGCTCGGTGGGCGACGGGGTCAGTCTCGAATCGCACCTTGAGCATGTCATGCACACGGAGTCGGGGAGCGGTGCTTGATCTACCTTGACACGCACATCTCGGAGTCGAGGTATGTGCTGGCGCACGTTTTTGTTCTCTCTGTGAAGGTGGACATATACTCCACGTTCGAGGCCATGGGGTTGAATGGTCAGTCTGCAAGTGCAGTATCTGAACTCATGTGATGCAATGGGGTGCGTCTCAGAGACGATTCTGAGGACTGCGTCTGTTCCCGGGGCTCTGGCAATGGTCGGAGCCAGTTTTCACGGTGCGCAGGCCAGCTATGTTTACGTTCTCTGCGTCTTGGATCAGATGCTTGATACAACTACGAGTTGTGAAAAATGCAGTGTCCGAAGATTTGTCATGACACAATGGTGTGAAGGGATAGACCTCAAACCTGTTTCAAGTTCCAGCCCCTGGTGTCAAAGAGTTTTTCTTGGGATCGATATCCTGCGGTTTCTGGTTGGGACTCCGCCTATCCCCGTCACTCCTTGGTGTTGGGTCGCATGGGAGGGGGGCAGGTGGGGGTTGCTATGCAGCTGCCTCAACCTAATGTTCGATGCCATCGGGATCGTTCTCATTGGAACTGCCGTAGTTTTGTTGAACCCTGCTCAGTGGGATGCGTTTCGATTCAGTGGTCCTTGGGATCGCGTTGCTGGTTCGGGGCAAGGTTGCAGTCTTTGGTGTTTTCCCAGTGGTGTGTAATGCGGCAGCAACGTCACTAACCCGCGGCGTCGGCCCTGTTCGAAGCCGTTTTGGCTTAGGTTTCCTGGCCTCGTGGGGCCCAGGGGCCCTGGGGCGGCCTGCGACCCTAGTGGCCACCAGGTTTCGTGTCGACTGATTAGCTGCAGGGGTCTAGCAGTGGGGATGTCGGACGACACGGTGATCTACGTGCAGTTGCCAGGTGAGTTTTCATCTTCGGAGTGCCGCGGCATCTTCAAGGCGTGGGCTCATGATCGAGATCCACTTGATGGATATCGACAGGGTCAGGCTCCTCTGTGGCTTGGTTGGGAGCTCAGGCGGGTCATCGCAGCCCTCGGCGAGAAGTTCGACACGGGCGTCGGCAAGTGGATCTACAACAACAAGCCGAGGATCACGAAGTACTTCGAGGCGCTCAACTGCGAGCGCGGCCACTGCATCGTCGAGAACGTCATGTCGTGGAAGGCGACGCACTGCCCGGACACGATGATGCCGCCAACCTGTTTGAGGAGCGAGTACCAGATCACGACGCCTGGCTTGCTCGCGCTGCTGGTCGGCAGTTGGATGACGAAGAAGAGTGGAGCTGGCAAGACTCAGGCTGGCAAGGTGTTGAAGGCGTTTCTGGACTTGTACATCGATGGTGACGCCGCGGACTCGTCGGTGCTCGAGTTCAACGGTCACTGTACTCGTGCTGCAGCGACGGGGTCTTGCCAGCTCTACCATCAGGACAACCGCGACATGTGTGTGCACCTCAAGGGCTGTCTCGAGAACATGGGCCAGTACGCTGGCAAGGACTGCGGGTCCAAATCCAAATGGGGGGCACGCTTGACTGTGACGGCTTGGGGGAGCGGAGCGAGGGGAAGGAGGGGGAGGCGCGAGAGCACCCTGAGGAGCAGTAGGGGGATGACGAGGAGAAGGGTGAGGGGGAGAAGGAGGAGGAGGATGGGGAGGAGGATGAGTAAGAGCCTGGAGGGGAGTGATGAGGATGAGGAACGAGGAATGCGAGGAGGAGGAGCTGCGACGGTAGTAGTCGTGGTGGTAGTAGACGCTGCGGCTGTCATGGTTGTATGCGGTCCTGCCCCATTTTCCTTCTCTTCCTCCTCCTCCTTCTCCTCCCTCTCCTCTCCCTCCCTCTCCTCCTCGTCCTCCCTCTCCTCCTCCTCGTCCTCCTGGTCCTCCTCCCCTTCCGTCTCCCCTACGGGTCTTCTTTGGGCTAATCGGATCCCCGTCCTCGCCGCCCCCCTCCAGGATGCAATCGCGATGCTGATCCAACGCGTCTTCAACAGCTCCCACCTCTGCGTGAGCGTCCAGGAGGTCTTCATGGAAGCTTGGGCGGAACCGAACGTGACGCCACCCGTCGTGTCGCGTATTATGTGCATGCATGTATGTGCATGTTTCCATGTGTATGCGCATGTGTGTTGTGCGTCCATGAAGTATGCGTGCGTGGCGTTGTGTTACGTATGTACACGTAAGTGAGCAAGCTGTGTATGTAGCTGTGTATTTTTAATTTGCACCCACGTGTGATTCGTGCCACAGTGTCGTTGGCAATGCAAGTGTCTCGTTAGCGTGCACTTCGCATGGTGGTGCCGTGCCAAGTGTACGAACTGCGGTGTCATAGAATGTACGTTGAAGTGTGTATTAATGTATGCAATGTTGTTACGCAGTGGGTTACCCAATATGCGCAGATGGTTGTATGATTATCTTGGTATATGTTGTGGTACACGAAACACAAATGAAACAACACACGTGCTTCTGTGTTGGTCGGCAGTGGCAACTTGCGCGTTCGCGCTCCTCCTTCGTCCCGATTTCCTCCTGCCTCCTGTTCCCCCTCACCATCATCATCCTCGCCCTCCTCCTCCTCCGTCCAACCTTCTCCTCATATTTCCTTATCCTCCTCCTCCTCCTCCTGTTCCATCCCCCTCCTCATCCTGCTCTTCCTCCTTGTATTCTTCCTTCCTCCCCTCTCCCTCCTCCATATTCCCTCCTTCCTCTTCCCACCTCCTTCCTGCTCCTCCCACCGCCCTCCCTCCGCCTCCCGCCTCCGTACCCCCTCTGTCCTATTCTCCCCTCCCTTCTTACTTATGTTTTTCTTCCCCCCTCCGCCCGCTTCCCCTTTCCCTCACCCTCCTCTCTTTTCTCCTTCCTCATCCCTCCTCTCTCCTCCCTCCCATTCCTCATTTCTCCTTGTCCTCCCTCCTCCCTCCTCCCTCGCCCCTCCTCATCCTCCTTCCTCCTCCTCTTCCTCCCCTTCCTCCTCCTCCTCTTGCTCCTCCGCCTCCGTTTGCTCCTCTGCTTACCTCCTCCCCCTCTCCTCATACTGTCTCGTCCTCCTCCCGTGCCCCCCTTCCTCCTCCTGCTTCGCCTCCCTTTCCTCCCTCCTCCCTCCTTCTTCCTCCCTCATCCCTCCTCCCTTTTCCTTCCTCCCTCCTGCTCCGCCCTCTCCTTCCTCCTTACTCCCTACCCCCTCCGCCCTCGCTAATCCCTCATCCCCCCTCCTGTTCATCCTCCTCCTGTTCCTCCTCCTCCTTCTCTCCTTCTCTTCTCGCATCCCCCTCCCCTCCTGTTGTTTCCTCATCTTCCCCCTCCTCCCCCCGCTCTCCAGCTCCGCCTCCTTCTGTTCTTCATTATCCTTGCCCTCCTTCCTTTCCTGCCCCGTCTTCCCTGTCCCTTCGCCCTTGCGCCTGCGCGATCCATCATGCGCTTGCTCATCAATGACTTGTTGCGTCTTCAAACTCCTTTGTATTTTTCAGTTTTTCTTTCAGCGTTTTCGCTTTTCGGCCGACCCCTGGCAAGCAAATCCCAAGCGCGCTCGTCGTTGAACATCCAGGAATTATGCCTAGGAGCGCTGCGCTGTGGATCGGGGCGTGCGCGGGTTAGCGTCTTTGCACAGGCGCGCTGCGACAGCGATGGTATGTTTGTAGATTAAATTGGTCTAAAGGTGTTTGTAAGTTGCAAGGTTTTTGTTGTCGGGGCAGGGGGGTATGTTTTCGTAAAATGTAATGTCTGGTCGGTGAGGGGGGCGCTTGTCGCGATGTAGATATTGCGGTCGTTTGCGCGCGGCTCACGCAGCGAGATGTCCGATGTGGCGCAGCCGAATTCCCCCGTTACTAAAGTGAACGCCCTTTGGGGGCCATGAGGCAATCGACGCTTGCGCGTGGGATTCGATTCCGCAATAATACCCGATGTTGCGCGCAGTTCGTTTATGGGCGCGCGGCATTAAAGGCCGCGCGGGCGTTGCAATCAACCGGAGCTCGGGGCGGGGGGGGCGGGGGGGGGGCTCTTGTTTCATTCGCACTCGGCCTCTGTTGTTTTTTTTGTTCCCCCCCCCGTCGGGTGGCCAAGGGAAGGTCCATCATCGTTTCGTAGGTAACTTCGGGTAAGGGTTCGCATTGAAAAACGCCCGCCCCCCGCCGCGCGATCTTTTGGCTGCAGAGCAATTGATTCGGCGAAATGCCCGCGGGGGGGATCTGCTCGACGTTCTTCTTTTCAGCAGCTAAGGGGGGGTCTGCGCGATCGGCGCGAACGGCCTTCGTCGCCGTGGCAGGGCAAATTTACCGTCTCGGGTTCCCGCCGTCTTCCTGCCTCGCGCAGCTGCTCGAGGCGTTCGGCGAGTCGCCAGCTGCGCAACCGCAGCAGCAGCGCGCCCTGGGACGTTGCGACGATGGATGAGCCCCCATCCATGCTGGAGAAGCTGCGGCGGCGGCAACGGAAAGAGCTTCTGCTTGCAAGATTTTGAATTTCGGCAGGGGCGGGAAAATTGCTCGCACGCGCCCCCCCCCGCGCGACGACCCCCGCGTCTTCGAAGACTGGGTCAGCTACTTGCGCGGGAGGTCGCCGCTCCGCCATCGGGAGTGGAAGTTCGAGCGGCACGAGTCGTGCCGCAGGGGTATCTTGCGTGACCCGATTCACAAGGCCACGCGCCAACCATGCATATGCCGTTCCCATCGGGCGGCTGCGCCCCAAGTTCCGACCGCTGGCCCGTCGCAGAAGGGGGCATTCGGCGCAGCGCAGCAGCGGCGGCTGCCCGCGGCTTTGAACGTCGCGCGCCCAAGCCTTTGGCGCCAGGCGACGCGCCGACGGCAGCGACGAGAGGATGGGCACTGCGCCAGAGGCAGCGCGGCGCGCGGCGGCGATCGATTCTCGCGCAGTGTTAAGGGTGGCGGTTATCGTCAGCGCGAGAGGTGCGCAATTCTCATGTGTGAATCTGGAGTAGTAGTAGTAGTAGTAGTAGCAGTAGTAGTAGTAGTAGTAGTAGTAGTAGTAGTAGTAGTAGTAGTAGTCGTAGTTGTAGTAGTAGTCGTAGTAGTAGTAGTAGTAGTAGTAGTAGTAGTAGTAATAGTAGT